AGAAGAGGGCACCACAAAACCTACGTGCTAGTTTTTCTTTAGATCTGGAGAACAGGGCACCACCCTAAGATGTTACGACCTCAATGTCGCAGCACAGTGACGTGATAGCCTCAAGTTTCTTCACCTGGCTCCACTTGCCAGACATCCCCTCCTCGAGGGCAAGGCCAGGCCAAGCGCTGTCCGGGCCCCACAGAGCAGGCAGAAGGTCCCGTCCCCACTCCCCGAAGGCTCCTGGGGCGTTGGGCAGCAGAGCTGGTACGGGCACTACACCCACTTACATGTGGTAGCTTGAGGAGGAACAGGGAAACACGAAAATAATGAAAATAAAATAAAGTCAATTAAATATTAGAGCACAGCTTTTTAGTGCTTTGTTCTCCGGCATTTTTATATGAAGCATTTTAGGATCACTGACTCCAGATTAGTTATATTATCTATAATGTTGTTTTTCTCCTTCCTGAAAGGTCACACTGAAAAGTGTCTTATTTACAAATGCATATGGTTTCTTAAAGGGAGTGTCATATAGGTGGTTCTAGAAAAATAACTGCATACACTGCAAACCTTATATAAACAGCATAGATCTGCCTATGCTGCCAAAGATGTGCAATAAGCTTTTGTTTACAACAGTAAAGAACTGTCCAATGCACTTATTATTTCGCCTACTGCTCTGAAGCACTTAGCAATCTTTCCACTCAGCATGTTAATTATGGAAGATGCTTTTTGTATTACATGATTTATTTAAAGTCTGCTCAATCTCAATTTATGAAATCCAGATTGTGAAGCATCTCAAAACAATTTACTCTTCTTCTTAGCACCTTCAGTCACTAAGAGCAATTTTACAGTACATTATGCCACATAAATATATTTTAATGCCTTAAGCATTTAGGAATCAGCTTACCAAGACTTAAAATACAGTAGCATCTCTGCAGTTAAGGGTCATATTCAATTTCCATTTTGACCTCTTAGTGCCCAGAAAACCAAAACCAGACAAATATATGTCAGAGTTCAAATTTAGCTTTTAGCGTCTTCTACCTCAACACCTAATTATTTTTTCCCAACTTCGAAAAGATTTTATTTGGCCATGCTTACACATTTCCCCCTCCTCTCCCCTTAAAAAACAACACACATTTTTAGTGTTTTCAGATGTGGAGTTCTTTTATGCCAGCTAAAGAGCCTAATCTGAGGCGAAAGAACCAGCCATCGGCCAAAGCCCAGTCTTTTGAAGATAATAAAGCTAAGTGACAATTTCTGGCAGTTGGCTGTGGAAAAAAATCAGAAGCACTCGGTGCTTGTATCCAGCCCCATTTTTCACAGAAACGTGTGACATCTGGCTCCTGAAGAAATTTCAGTTCATCCTTTAGACACATCAGTATCCCTCTTTCTGGTACCTCCTTGCATATGAAATTTCGAGATTTAAGATAAAGGGATTATCCTTTATCTTAAAATCATATGTAGCATTAACAGCAGAGCATACAACTGAAAAGCCAAAGCTCCAAGTATGTTTTCCTGCGTCATCTAGGACTGTTTGTATGGGCATGTGCATGCTACTTCAAACCTCAGAAAACAAGAGCAGAAAAGAGGATCCAAAGTGAGGATTTCATCTGTTAAACACCAGGAATAAGCTGCAGACAGCTAGAAATAAAACAATTACACCATTTTTGAAATATTCCCTATACCACGAGGCACAGGTGTTGCTGTAAAACCATCACACTGCAGTTGGCAGGGAGGATGCACCTCAACACATTTTACAGCTGGCACTCTCGAGTTGTAGCACAATATTTACCGTAGGCTCTTCAACACTTCCTGGCCGTAGGCACGCGTCTGTCCTGCAGAGCCCTGCAGGGACATCAGCCAGTGACACGGAGAGCAGAGAGCAGCACAGCCCCGCGGGCTCCGGGGCCGCTGCCCGCAGCTCCGTCAGCTCTGCGGGCTCAACGGCGGCGCAAGCGCGGGGTGCAGGCTCTGGACACTGGGTAAATCTACTGAGGAGACCTATTCCTCACTTGGCTTTTTATGGTCAGCTTTAGTACAGCTTTTTATTTCAGTAAAATTACAGGCACTCATTGGACATCTGGACCTATTTCCAGTTTTCCCTTGGACTGATCACCGCTAGATACTCCCATTAAGTGTGTTGGTGCAAGGGTTAGCGGTATTCAACATTTTTGAGTCTTGGGCTCAACCACTTAAGCAAAAATATCCCCGATTTTTGCTTAAATGTAATGATTCAAACCTTGTTTATTTGGAAAGATGAGTACAAATAAACTACAAGAGCAAGTGGCTTCTACCTTCCACGTGATTTCGCTTCTAAAGTTTGTCACCTTTATCTTACCATGCTTTAAGTGCATCCTTCAGGTGATAATTCCACACTTCATCAAGCTAATACACAATTTTGACAATATTCTGCTCCATATTTAAATAACACCTGTAGACGTTCTACTGATATTGCAAGCATTAGACTCCCAACAAAACAAACCCCACATGGTAACCTCCAGAAGCTTTCCATATTGTAAACAGGAAAATACACTAACTTGTTTTTTTTTTTTAAGAAAAAAAATGGTTTGCAATCACACATTTTATTTAAAACCTACTTAGATTGTTATGGAGAACGATATAAAAGACAACACATTTCACACACAAAAAAATCTGCTCATTTCCTTAATAATGATGCCTGGGCTTTGAGAGCCACATAAGCAAAACTGTATTAAACTAAAAAAAAAAAAAATTACAGTCCATGCCCTTTCAATAGTGAGGAGAAAATTTATATATTATATATATATTTATATATATATATGTGCATGCAAGCTTGTGTGTGTGTAAATATAAAATTTCCACTGCTATTTTGAATAAAAGACCTTTTTCTATGGTATTTTGGCAGTAATAAAAGCTACTCTTGTTTTAAAAAGTCTGACCCAATGCAGCTGTTTTGTTTAAAAAAAGAAGTTAGCAGTTACTTTTGCATTCACTTCAACAGATCAAAAGCCAACGTTATTCCAAAGTCTGAGCAATATAAGCAAATTTTTATTTGTTATTTGAAAGAAATTAAATGGAAAAAAGCCAAGCATTTTTTAATTCAACCATCATACTTTCTTCGTTAACATTTTGCAATGTTTGACAATACTTAATAAAATAGCTTCAATATTACCTAAAATGTTTCAATTTAGCCTTTATAACTTATGCCAAACTTGCACGTTTCGTTCTCCAAAGCCTAGTGACTTATAGCAAAAAAAGCAGATTTATAGTTACATCCTAAAAATGATTTAGGCTAAAATACCAAAAGGCTGCAAGATTCCAGGCCTCCCTTTCATACTACATTCATTTAGGAAATATTTTAATGACAGGCAATCCTAAAAGAGAAGCAGAGATGCAGTATGTTTAACAGGCCAAGTTAAGAGTTCACACAGGAAAAAAAACAAAGTGAGACTTTCAAACATCACATACTTGAGCAGATACTATTAACAGGATCAAATTTCCTAAGTTCTGGTTTCACAAGATACATTAGCTTTGTTCCTTAACAGAGCAGTCCCTACAGAAAAACAACACATTAACAAAACACATGGAATATTTATCATTTCTGGTTACTAATAGCTGGGCTTTGGAGATTCCATCCCCCAAAACTCACTTCTTAGTTTGGCTCAACCTAACTTTACCTAAAATAGAGCTGTGAGGGGAAAAAAAAAAAAAGAAAAGAAAAATCCCTGCGTATAATGAGCTTAAAATTAAGAACTAGTATTTAGGCACCTTCCCTCAAAGATAAGCTAACCTGAGCCATTTTCTACAGCTATGCTTAATTTCTCAGATATTAAGCTGGTTATTTTCTTACCACCCTGAAGTGTGAAACCAACAGCTTAACTACCGTGGCAGAAGTCTTGACCTAAAAGGGCTTTCTTACAAAATATAGGTATCGGATATAGAAAAAAGGAAAGGTTACAATCAGGATTTAAAACTCAGCCCCTCAATTCTTGTAAAAGGAGTTTTGTAATCCAAGGCAAGAAAAAAATAAGTCAACTCTTTAATGAGACCGATGGACCAGTTAAATGCAAACGAAATCCTGAGATCTCCTGAAACGGTTTTGCCCAAGGTACACTCAGTACTCCAGATTTTTTGCAAAAAATCACTAGTATCACTTTGATACTATAAAATCCCTAATCAGCAGTAAAACCACTGCTTGCAGACCACTGTGATGAAAATTTGTTACAAGACCATGTTGTACGTTTAACCCAGGGGCATTCCAAGCTGCCGTGCCATTTCTGGTCACTTACCTATAAGAAAGGGTAATTCCCACAGGTATTTTAGTACTACCAAAGTTTTGGTTCACTCCCCATCACAGGGAGACAAAATTAATCCAGCTTCATGACAGAAAGGCCCTTTCCCCCCTTCATGACTGAAACCAAACACCCAACTAAAAGCAGCAACTGGATTTTAATAAGCCATGTCCTTGATAGTCAACACTTCTTTTCTTTTTCTTAATTGCTAATCAAAGCAGGAATCTGCAGAAGTGTTTAACACACCAAGCCTAGTTCCATGCCTTGGAAGTGCTGATAGCAGTGCCATTACACATGACTAAATCAAATGGAGCCAATCAGAAAATAAAATAAAAGGCCCATTTAACAAAATGTCTGGTTGTCAAACAGAAGACACAATCACAGCTTTTGCTAGCATTGATCAGGTGACTTTGTTTTTCTTTTAAATACCCGAAACTTACTCCCCAAACACTGAAGTGACCAGATAACACCCTCCTGATAGCTGGCCACACCAGGATGTTAACAGCATTTGTGTTCTCTTAGCAAGGAATAGTACATTTTATTTCAAGTACAAACTATCAGTGTTAGTACATACTAAGTCAAGTGTGCTTAGAAAGAAATTCATTTATGGCAGGTACCCAGTCCTACCTCTTTTATTAAAGGAAGTTCTTTTGGTATTCATGGAATACAATGAATAATCATTGAAACCAAGGCAGAAAAGAACTCTAGATTTTTAATGGGCATATAAATAGAGATACTTACAGCCGTTCAAGTTGCTTTAGATCTTGAAACGCTCCACGTTCTATCACGCTAATCTGATTTTCTTCCAAGTGTCTGCAATTGCAGAAATACGAGTTAATTTTAACACAACAGAATAAAACTTTTCCCACTTCTCTTCACATATGCTATACAGTGCTTTTCATAGGAACACCAGGAACAGTTATAATTTACAGTTATAACAGTTATCAAAGAAATCTGGAGACAACAGCACTCCCTTTCGTGGTCACCCACAGGAAACGGAGCTCTCCTCGATTTTATTTCTTGATGCAAACCGCCTCCAGGCCGCCCGGACGCCGTAACCCTTTTGGTGCCCATGCGCTTGTGGCCACAGCCATGACTAGGAGGGGGCTGGTCTGGAAGCTGCTTGGCACGCGGTCAGCAATCCTAGTTTATGTGACGTAATGACGGAGGGATGACGGACTCCAACAGGCAATAGCAGGGAACCCACGTGCAACAGCTTTGGTCCAGCTCTGCGTTCTGCAAAGCTCTCAGATTTGCCCCAGAGGAAACATTTGCCCCCCCTTTTCTCCCGTGCGCTCCCTTCACGCACATCCCCAGAAGCACTCTGAGGTGGGGGCCACATCTCTGGGCCCTCTAAATGTATTTAATGTGACTTCAGCTGCCTAACAGACCAGGAAGAACTTCACACGTGCTAAGCTTGGGCTCAAGCAGGTAACAAAGCCCTTCCCCTCCTGCCAGCCACCCTTCCCAGCCCAGCCTTGGAGCCGTCTCCAGGGAGTCCTCCCAATAACACACCAAAGTTCTCAGCACAGACAGCAAAAGCATCCTCAGGCAGCTCACATATGGGGGGCCAGAGGGTCAATTTTGCTCAGGGCCAAAAATTCGTATTTCATCACTGACTTGCCCACTGACTTGAACCTTCCCTTGAACCTTGAACCTTTCATCACTGACTTGAACCTTCCCCTTTGGCCTTTTCCCTTCATATATCCACTTTGGAGTAATATCTGTCCCCGCATTTTTGCTCCACCCTGATAATAAGCTGATTAAGTCTATTACCAACAAATTTCTTCATCAATCACTAAATAGCTTAGACAAAATTTGGCTTGGCAGGGTAGTAAAAGCCCTAGTCCAAGCACACATCAAGTGCTCCCAGTGCAGGGGGACTAGCTCCCTGGTGCGTAACGTGAGTTGGAGCTGGAGCGCTCTGCAGCAGGAGCGCCGAGCTTTGCCTCACTGCTGAGCTGTGAGGGAAAATCCCGAGGAAAACACGCTGCTGCTTTCCTCACCAACGCCGCTGACCAAGACACTGCACTGAAACAGCTTCTCTTCTCTGTAAAAATGTTTTTAAACATTATCTTGCTTATTTTAAAAACTAATATTGCCTTGAACTCCTGCAGGCAATCATAGGTATTGATTTAAACTGGAGTCATGCCCATTTCAAAGCTTAATTTCAAAGAGCTTATTAGACTTTTATGAACTAGTTTTCACATAGACAAACATGAAATTCTTTTCAATAATCACAATGACACAAATATATTTTAACATTATAACAAAGCTGCTTATTCTTCATATATTAGAAGACTATATAGCGTATAAACCTGCAAGCAACACAAGAAAAAAAATCAAGTTCAGATGGTAGTTGCAGATTTTGCGTGTTGTTAAGGCCTGTTAGTATCAGTGAGGGCTGTGGCATGTGGCCGTGCCAACGCTACAGTCAATAGCAAAAAACTCAGTGAAACCAAAACAACCACTGAGATGAATAACAGCACATTATCTGCAAAGAGGATTTTAATAAAGACTTCCAAAATGGTATTGACAGCTGGGCAGGACCCAAGAAAGTCTAAATGATGGAGATGAGAAACCCAACACAGGAAAGCAAGTCCTTCCATGGATTTGAACTACACAGGACAGCTTGTTCCAGAAGTTTTAAGGTAATAGTAGCAAAGACTTGGTTTTTCATTGACAATGTCCAAGTCTTTCATGAACTGAATATCACTAAATTAACGCTCAATTCAACAACTGCAGTTTTTAGGACTTAAAAATGTGCTGAAATGAAAAAACAGGAAATGCAGAAGGCAATCATAAGAAATAACGTGGGAATTGGAGAGGATGTGTGTTTTTTAACTTCTATATCAGGAGATAGCTGTGCCTATTTTTTTGTTGTTGTTAAATATTTCATATTAGACTAAAAATAATTTGCAGTTTTCATACAAGTCCTACAGCTTTCAAATATTCTTAAACCAAGTTATATTTCAACTTTTATTAACAGGACTGTACCCTAAGGTGGCCTAAATCTGAGAGATCCATTTGCTACTGTCAATATAGTTTCACTATAAATGATTAAAGCCCAAGTGATTCTAAAGCAAACCAAAACATTTAACACAGTACTTATTAAAAGCCAAGCAATTAAACAGCTGTTTAATATATTTGTATTAATACATGTCTAGAATGACAGACATGCTTACTAGCAGCCTAGAAGAGTCTATCAAGAAAGTCAAGTTTTACTCACAAGACACGGAGATTCTTCAGTCCTGCAAAGTCAGTCTTTGTGATTCTTGTGATGTTATTTTTTTCTAGATCACTGGAGAGAGAGAAAAAGGAAAAAAACAAACACTGAGCATTCAGGCAATGTAAGTGATAGCAAGATTCAGTCAGCAGAAAGTAACTTCATCAGTGGAGCACTATCAACAGCTCAAATTGCAAAAACAATTTTGCCATTGCAATTTCAAGCAGCAGTTGAGCACTCTTGACGAGTTTTGCCTCTTCCCATTACCACACTGCCCTTGTACAAGTTTCTGGCAGCAGTGCTTGTTCTACGCTTCTTTCTCTCTCAAGACCCCAGTTTCCTAAAGCCTAAATACCTTAAGGCCCGGCTGGTGCAACAGAGCTGACGCAGCCCAGGGCCCTCCAACCCCACGCGCGTCTGGCCTGCGGCTGGGAGCTACTTGCTAGTCCCACCCCCAAAGGAGAAGAAAAAGGGAAAATTCAAGAACAGCTTTAGGTTTTTTTCAAGCTTTCCAATTAGGCAGCCTCTTCATAGGTTTTTTTTTTTAATTGCGGTTTTTAGAAGATACTGTTAATCATGCTGACCTGTTTCTCATACGCACTCTCTCTTTGCTAATTCTTTACTTTCTTCTTCGCTTACCCTCCCAATTTCCCAACACTTATATTGTTCACCAACACAACTCTCTTGCAGGGTCATGTACTAAGCATTACCTGCTGCACTGCTTCAGTATCAGCTAACTCATATTCTAGATTCCAGCCTAAAGTGACATCTTTTCCATGACAAGGAAAAGCCACTGCAACCAGATGCTGGGCTGCCTTCTTTTCTGCAGCTTTTTGTTGCAATGAACATCCCAAAAATACAGCAGACACTATTATCTAATTTGCGTCTTAATAGACATAAGAACAAAACACTCTCTAGTTAAACTCTATTATGTCAAAATTAACGGGATGTATTAATTTATACTCCATGCAAGACTGGAGTCACTAGCACAGCTCTAAGAACTAGGGTCTCTCTCCTCTGCATTTGCCTTTTTGTTGTCCACAGTCACTAGTGAAAAAGACTGCATAAGAAAAACTAATCATGAGGCCTGAAGTTTACTTCATAGAAAAGCATGAGAGATCACAAACTGACCGTAACAAATAGAGGCTTTACCTATTTATTTCAGTTTTACCACAGCGCAACGTGAGTGTGCAGTGAGGTACACCTCTTCTCTGGTAAGAAGGCTTAATTTCCCTCCCATTTCAAGTAAAATTCAATAAGACAAAAAGCAAGATTACCGGATTACGTTTATGCACGTTTGGCAATCGCCTGAAACCTGCACAACCCTTGACCCTGAAATAATTTTGGAAATACAAATGGCTGTTCTTAAATACTGCTTCAAGCTGAGCATTTCTGGAGGTATAAAAAGGAATTCAAGGAAAAAGTAGGACCAAGAAATTCCAGACATACCTTCACTCTTAGGCTTGCATTTTGACAAATACTGCATTGAAGCTACCCTAGACAGTCATTTAAGTTCCCCACAAGTACAATTATAAACAAAATGGGAGAGCCTTTGAAGTGCTGAGAACATTTTAATCACTTGCAATCATTCTCAGAGCATCTATAAGGGGGGACTCAGTGCTGGCCAGCACAATTCCCAGGCATTTTCCATTGCACATGTATTTCCATACAAGGCACTCAGGATGACTGCTACTTAAACCTATCTTTTTTCACTTCACTCCGGGTCCTATCAGTCAGAGAGATCTACTACTACTTAGAAGAAATATGTGAATGTTCAAGCATAAATTATTAAAATGCTTTCAATTTTATTTTCAAAGATCGTTTTTTTCTCTGCCACCATGAAGTTATATTCCTCTAAAGCATTAAATAAAAAGCAATTGTCATGGTAACAAACTTCATGTTTCTAAATCACATGGTCAAAGAAAAAGACAGTCATGTATTTTGAAACTTAAGCATGTTAAAAAGTACATTTTCCTTATCCAGAGGAGAAACAGAAGCATCCAGCATCCAAGACAAAAACTGTTCCTATTCCTCAACACACCTAACTGCAGTCTCACGTGTGATCCCTCCCTAAACCTCCCCCACAGTCCAAGAAGGAATTAGCTCCTTTTTCTCGCCTTTTAGCACGTTGATGCTTCCCTAGAAATCTCTTACCAAAACCTAAAAAAACAAAAGCTGAAGTGAAGACAGTGCTATGCCACTTGACAACTGAGGTTTGGCACCTTGGAGCAGAAGCTGATAAAGATGATGATTCAGCTCTCAGTTTATGCTGACAGAAACCTAAGCAAATATGTCTACAATACTTACAACCAGGGACAAACCTGTTACAGTTTGAGATCTTCGCCTTTTGGGAACCCAACTTATATTTGCCACAAAAACAGACTACAGAATAATTATTAAAAAAAAAAAAAAAGCCTGAAGTCATTAAAATTTAGGTCAATAATTCTAGTAAGTCTACACACTCCACAGTCAGAAATATTTACTTCAACCTGTCACCGAAAGTGGCAGTTCCATGGACACGGGTACATACATAATACTTCTTCCACTCATCTTTTTCAAACACTTGCTATCATCAATCCTAGTGTGAATCTTTCTAATGGATAAATAGAACATTAATAAGACTAAAGGCAATTAAGGAGTAAGTGAGCTGCACCAGAGTGCAGACAAGTGTTTGTTTTGTAACACTAAAAGGCCATTTCTGATGCTTATTTATAAATGTCAAACTGCTACTAAAACTCAAGTGACAAAATGGCTTAAAAAATGAATAAACTAAGAGTCAGTTTAAGTGTCTTAATGCAGAATATACCTAAATGATGCAAGAAATAGATTCTCTGGTCCAGAAACAATATTTCTTATCACAGATAGGAACTAATGCTAATGGTAAGGAGACAAGGGAAAAAAATCCCACTACTTCAGTTCTAAGAACAAGCAGAAGAAATACAATATTTGTACCTTCCTTGAGTCAGATATACTTTAGAGATAATAACTACGGGACACTTCCATTGCATGTTGCAGTTGCTCTCATCCATTTGTACTTTTTCATCTCTTGATGGAACCTCACTTCTTTTTGAAGAATGCCCTTGACTCGCTGCCTACACTTCTCTGCTTTTCCAGCTTTACTTGTGTTCTCACTTCAGTTCTTCTATCCGGGTGCATCGGTAGCTCACCAGGGTGACCTGACTGCAAGAAGCATTGGAGAAGTCCAGACAGGCCCAGCTGCCCAGGGCAGCACGGTCCCCGCAGCACAGCTTTAGAGCCTTGATTCTCAGTACAGTTTTACTCAGTTGAAATAGGTCTGTGTAGAAACACGTTCCTATCACAGATCCATAGCAAATCTTCAGCCCTGGGCTCTTCCTCCCTCCAGCCTGTTAGAGGCACGAGCCCCAACACACGAGCTCCAGAGGACACAGAGCTATTCCAGGCTCTCCAGCCTGCAGGGATATGCAGTGCTCTGCTATGGGAAGCACTGATACAACTTCTTCATCAGTACCCACCTCAAGATTGCTTTTTCTCTACTCCTTTAAGAGTTACACAACCCCTATTTGTACGCAGTCCTTAAACTCAACCATTCCAGGAAATCTTTCTGCAGGTTAGTAGCCAAGTCTGACTACAAGTTTCCTTTTGTGAAAACCTAATTATTTGGACAATGCTCTAACTACAATAGAACCGTCTGACATGAAGTTCAGCTTTCCTTAAACTGTTCAGTATTTTTTTGATAGCTGCCTTCTCTGCTTCAAAAAAGAGCCATCCTCTCCTGAGCCTTTACCTGTTCCAGGAAAGGCCTCCCTGCGGGCTGGGTCTTCCAGCTGAAGAGAAGGGATTTAAACCTGGATGCACTACATTACCTTTCCTCCTCCTGTTCACAGCAGGGCTAACAGCGCTGCTGAAAAGCCGACTGCCACAGGTTAACCCATGAGTCATTAAACTCTGCAATTGTGAAGTTACTGATCTCTTGCAGACGTTAGTGGTTTACAGCCCGTGTTTGTGGGCAGCCTAATATTTTATGTTTCCTTTATAAAAAGCCTGGCAGCTGATTATGGGCTCACTAGTGGGTTTCAAATACAAAAACCTAAACCTTCGCATCTCGTCTTAATTGGCTTTCTAATACATCACTGTACAGGAGAATTGCTGGAAGCAAGAACAGAAATGCCTTTGAAAAGATATCATTGGGGTCAAAGACACTGAGAAATTTATGTTGTAATCCTAAAGGTGAATTTAATGTACATCCATTTCTACAAATGCCCATGTGCAGATATGTTCTAAGATAAAAATAATGTTGGGCAGAATTCCTGCCTTTCCCGTAATATAGGCAGCACTTTAGGTAGGTACTTTACATCTCACACCTATCTCACTCACGTGAGCACGAGCCCAGTTACTGCTCTGTGTCATTTCACGTTCAGTAACACTGTCCTAAGAGGCTCTGAGAAAACTCCATCAAGGAAACTAGGTCTCCTCTTCCAGTCTGCCAGCAGCACTTGGTACCACTCACACACCACGAGGAAAAGAAACTGAGATCTGCACCAGTTGCAGCAATGCTGTTGGTACTAGGCTTCTCCTGACATTTTATTTCTCATTTTAGCATACAACATGTTAAAGACAACGCAGGCGTAGTGACAGCTTTGAGAAAACAGACACTGAAGCAATTAATTCAGTGGGAATGGAAACATGAATTAGAGTGGAATGGTACAAGACAGCATGAAAATGAGTTCAGATTGAACTGTTAAAGTGAGCTTTACTCATAAACATGTCCTGCTATGCTCTAATAACTATTTAATTCAATACACATTTTGTAGATGCTGAAGAGCAAGTCACACAGTGTACACACTTATTACAAACAGGGATGTTTGGAGTAACTGGAGCAAGTCCTGCTTCATAGCAAGAATTCCTCTGAATTGCTTCATCTTTCATTCTTCTCTCAAGACAATCTACTGAACCTAAGCCAGATATTTAAACATTTTAAAATGTCTCCAGCATTCTCTGGAGCATGTCATTACACAGCTTCAAACAGCATTAGAAGTGCATAGATTTCCTCCGTTACATTGCTTAAACAAATTTCAGTTGACAACTATTCTGCT